TCTCTCTCCCCCTCTCTCTGTCTCTCGCTCTCGGTTTGAATGCCCTTGCATGCAACTACACTCGCACAACACAAGTTCCTTGAGTATCAAACCGTGCCTTTCATGGAATACCGTCAGCACATCTCACCCTTTTCTGGGAGTAAGTTTAGCGTAGCTATTCGGAGAGGCAAAATGCAGAATGCACCTCTGGCCGTTTCGAGGTGTTCAGCGAAGACAGGAGTGGCAGGGCATCCGGTGTTGTCGCACTCAGTGTGGCAGCTCTGACAGCGTCTCTGACAGCGTCCACATGATCTTGACCTGCACAGAGCGACCGTGCAAACAAAAAATCACAAGCTAGCAGTGAACCTGCATCCTCCTTCTTCGTGCTGTTCGAGGAAGCGTCGATCCGAACCTTCCGACGTCTGTTTGCCAGCTTCTCTAGTCTCTAGTGACTCAAGCCCAAACAGCCAAGAAGCCTGTCGCATGTGTAGCAGTTCGACCACGTCATCCTCACAAGGACTTGCAGCTACTGCGACCTCACATCCTACAAACTTGACGACAACATGAACACTGATGCAGCATCCTCACAGGATAGAGCAGAAGCCGCTGGAACCGTGAATGAGACACTCAAGCTCCAGATCACCTCGCGGGGCGTCCACTTTGAACACCCTGCGCTAGCCCCTGCGGACTCGTTAAAGCCAGTCACGGACGCCACAAACGCTGGGCCATGCATCCGGATGTCCCACACTAGCTAATACACAAATTGATACTTCGATATCGAGCCCAAATACTTTCTGCCGAGTTCACGCATGCTCTTCTGCCGACACAGGCTGCAGAAGATTCTCTCAATGCCGCTGCGCAGGATTCCACTGTATATAAGCTATGCAAATACGAGCAGAGCCGATTGCAAAGTCATATGGAGTCATTACTTCCAGCGGAGCCAAAATCAGATTTTGTCTTCACCGGAAATGAGAAACATGCTATGTACAGGTTGGAATCCGGCCCGTCTCGAAGGAAGCGACTCTGCCTCATTAGCTGGAGGCTCTCAACGGACCTCCGCACAAGGGTGGCAGCCAGGCAGGAAAGTTTCCGACATCACTGAAACTCCCTACCGCAATGTCGTGATCCCAATTTGTGCAGTTCGAGGCTGCCGCGTGGATGCCCTTGACACCGGAATGCTTATGGTATTCCTGCACCGCGGCCTGATATGCAGAGAACAACCAAGGGCACAGAAGACAGATCAAAGGCAGCTTGCTAGCAATGCTTGCGTGCTTGCCTCATGCGCTTCCTGTCTCAGGTCCAGAACCTGCCAGCTGTTCAGGCCTGATTTGCACTGCGAACAGACCAAAGGCATCCGAAGGCCTTCTGCAGCTCTTTGTAGTGGCCTTTGGTCCGATGTCCGAAAAGTGGCGGTGGCTGGCAGCGGATTGCAGTATCCCGTCATTGCCATTCGAACAGTCGCGCATCCAAGAGCATCGCAGTTGGAATCAGCCCAGCCAAAGCCAGCAACTGCCTTTCCAGATACTCAAGAGTCTCTAGAGCGATGCGCGTCAAAACTCGGCAGGCCAGGCCTCGTTCCTGGATTGAACTGCGCACCCACACCAATCCAGAACTGAGAAGAGCAGTCACTTGGTGTCCATCGCCGAGTCTCACTTGTGCGACCTGGCCTTGACTCTGGAGAAGCGCAGGCGGATCTCCTTGATGTTGGATTTTACCTGCCAGCTGACGAACCATCCAGAGAGGAACCAACGGTCCCCGAACATAGGACCTTGGGGGCATAGCTGCCCAAAACCTGCAGAGGCAGAGATGTGCCGTGAGTAGATGCGCGCAGCTCGCTAGAGCACTTGTGCTCAGACTGGCCTCCATGTGCTTACCATTTTGCGGATCTCGCTGGTTGCATGCCTGGTCAGTGCAGGAGACAGCATGCTTCTAGCCTTCTGCAAAGCCGAGGAAAGGACCACCAGTTTGAAGAACCTCTTCAGAAACGCATGAATGCAATCTGACGATAGATACTCACGACCTTCGCCCCCTCGTTCCCACCACTTGCTGACGGATTTTGGGTGGACCGCGCTCCTGACGCGTGGCATGCCGCAGCCATCGTTGCTCACATTTCCATTGGTTACCATGCCTTGGAATAGAATGGCAGGAACCTGAGCACAAACACTGAAAAAATCAAACGCTTGCGAGATTGAAGGCTTGGCTCGGGCTGATGCATCTTCCTCACTAAGCAAATGCTTGATCGCAGCATTGCACTGCGAGTTACGAATCACTGGTGTGATGCTTGCCGACATACTTAGGTGCCTGTCATGGCAACGCTAGCCATCTAGGCGCAGGCTTTCGAAATCTGGGGTGGCCTCGCTGAGAACGGGGTTCTATACTTCAAACGATGCGACCCGGAAGCTGCCACGGCTGCAAGGCAAAGGAGATGCCAACAGGTGACATGCTGCAAAAGGTCGGTGGTGGCTAATCCAATTTCATGCATTCATGGTAACAGCAGCACGATCTATGAACGGTTGCTTGCTACACACAGACAAAGCGGAATGAAATACCCATACAGCTTCGCAGAGCTTCAAGGTACTTGCTTGCTGCATCTGTCAAAAAGGTTGCAAAACAGAGCACACTACAACATCTTTGCAATTTTGCATCCGGCGTGAAGAGCAGAGTGGCGCCAACTCGCGACATCACTCACAGATTTAGTCATTTTCACGGGCAAGTTGCGTGAAGGCTGGATGCGATTACATGAGCAAGCTAAGCTTCCACCTGCCGGCGCCCGGAAAACAACGGAGATAGGATGCAGCCCGTGTTCATGAAGGTGAAACAGATTGGCTGATGCAAAAACACGGCAGACTGCAAATCAGGTACCAGTCCTTTCGCAACCTAGGTAGGAGCCAGTTGAAGAGATGAAATGATTGACGCTTCACTCCACCATTGGAGTGATTGGTAGCTGTGCAAGGACGAAGAGCTTGCAGAGTGAACTCTGAGCATTTGTCAGGAGCTCAAACGGAAAAGCGGATGCTCAGAAGCAGTCTGTTGCACACTGCCTCAACCGTAAGTGGTAGACAGCTTTCGTGCAATCTCCTAAAAAAATGCTCAATCCAAAGGTTGAGCCTTGCTACCCCGAGGCAAACAGTCGAACTACGCAGCAGGCCTCGTTCAGTGTAATGCTACTGCTGCATACGAAATGTAAACGCTGAAGCTCGTGTCGTGCAGTTCTTGCCTGCGTGCGGCTGCAACAACATCGCTGCATTGCGTCTGCGGATGTTGGCCGAGAATCTACTTTTGCCATGACATCTTCGTGCCGGTCATGCAAAGACTTCCTCACCGTTAAACAGCTGCTCTACCTCAGCGACTCAGCTGTGCGGAACGAGAACCAGACCATAGAACCGAGGAGCACAGGCAGCACAGCACTCAAAGTGACTGCAGGGAAATCTGTGTCCAAGACCGCTCGGAGCCTCCCGAGACAGAGTCGACCTAAGCGAGCAATGCAAATTTTTTCTACTGGTAGTAACACGTTTCACACATGCTAACCCCGAAGGCCAGCGCCTTTGGAGTCTTGATGTCCGAACAGTCATGAAATTAGAGTGTCTTGAAGGAATCGGGAATACCCTACATGTTGCTGCACATCGAGAGAGACCTCTAAATCACTATCACACCACTGCAACTCTGATCTCCTCAAGTCTTATCGATCCTTCGAAGTTCATCCAACTGTGGGAAAGCCCTGCATTGTTATTTTGTTTGTGCGGTGATCCGATGTCTGCAGCATCTGAGCTGCAAAAACGCTCTGCACGATCCTGCTGCAGATTGCTGTTCTTGTGAACCTTGTGGCTGCATGCAGCGAATGCTGGGACAGGACCTGGGCCACAGACGAGCCATCGCATCCACAACCAACCTGGGGAATGCCCACTGTTGGGCCAGACCTGAGGAAATGCCAGAACCGGATGCACACAGTCCTCTGCATCAGACACCGTCCGAAGAAAACGCGGGAAACAAACCTCAGACAGGCACGCAACTTCACATTGCTCGACCAGGGCCACCTGCTTCTGGCTGTCAGATTTGGAATTCGGCCGCTTCCCAGAATCCCTCGCTCGGGTGCCTCGCTGTTCGCACCAAGACCTGGTGCCGCTCGCTCAAGAGGTGTCTCGAACAAAGCAGATCCCAAGCACCTCTGGCAGATTTGTCATCCTGGACCTCGAGATCGGGCGGAAGCAGGGAAAACACGATTGGGTCAGCAGCTCTCAGATCTCTCAGACTCTGTCCCCTCTTTGTCGATGCTCTCTGAGGTTGGCACGGGCACCGTGAGCTCCGGAGCCGTCTCAGTGTCCGTCCGCCCGCCTGCTTACAAAATCAAAGCCAAAGCTTCTCCAGGACCCGGCCCCTCGAACTTCATGGAAAGACCCTAAGACTGCAGCCTGCAAGCGAGGTTTCCTCCGCTTCTGTGACAGCCTGCCAGCGCCCACATGCGCCCACGTGGAGCAACGCAGATGCAGGAAGCGTGCCTCGTGCTTTGCAGCGACACCATCACCTTCAGTGGACCCGGTAGATCCAGGTGGCGCTTCCGCCGGTGCTGCAGGCAGCGTCCTCGAGGGGCTTCAAAGTCCAGAATAAACCCCGTCCAATTCGGTGATCTGTACTTCTACAGTCTTTTACCTCTATACATCGTTTGGGAGAATGCCAAAGCCAATGAGTCTCCTGTCAGTCTCTAGCTCGGGTGGCTGAGCTCCAGTCTCCACCTGAGTCAAAGCCAAAAACACTCAAGGCCTCATTGGCGTGCTTTAACCTCCTGCCGCTACTTCCGACATAGCGAAAGCGCTGCAACACAACAAAGCGACTCGCTAAACATCCGAAATGTCACATGTCCCCGAACTAGAAACCATCGACGTAGCAAACAAACATACCATGAGCTTCGAGATGCCCAGGACGCACCATCCGTATCCCAAGGTCCTTCTAACGTTGTTGAATCATTCCCGTCCTGGTTTTTCGTCATGCGTTGTTCTATCCTACTTCGTTTCCTCCTGGCCCCTTTCCGGTCCTGCCTCCCTTCCTTCGTTCTTCCACAGCGAGGGAGCATGAGTAACATAAACATACAGTATGTTACATACTGGACACAGAGAGCGACACTCTTCCGATAATGGCTCTGCTGATGGTCATTGCAGTCAAGGGCAGCACATCCGGCGGCGCAGGCTTTGTCTCATCAATTTTTTCTATCTTGTCCCTGAAGTTCGGGAGAGTCACAGAAGCTTCTTGCAATTCACACGAGCACGCGAGTGCCCTGCTTCTTCTTTGGCCGTCTCTGGCCACATCGGGAGAAGACCTGGCAGCTCGCCGCTTCAGCAGACAGTGCCGCGCGTGGGACAAGCAAAAAGCCCGGACGACGATCCAGTCCTGTCAGGAGCAGATAACAAGAGTATCATCATCGATCACTAACGTTAACTGAGATAAGGCTTCGTCCATGCATCGAGGGAGGCCACGAAACTTGGAGGTTCCTGCGTCCTGTTTTCGGGGGTTCCCATGCCAGCACAACAGACTGCTGAAGCGACATGTACAGGTGCTGAAATCACACGCCTGCTGCCGTCTGTTCATGATGTACTCATAAGTGGTCAGGTTTTGGTGCCTTGTACAGCGGACATTCCGCATCGCTTGCTGCATGCATCGCTTGGAGTCTTGGACCGCTGCATTAAGTACACGTGCAGAAAAACCTGGACTCAATGCGCAGAGACGCAAACGGCTTGGTCTTCCGTCTGCATGATCTTGACATCTGGGGGTGCCAGCCAGCTGCATGTCCAAACACCACAATGGTACATTCACGAAAGACATTGCAATAAGAGTCCTCAGCACCGGTGAATTCAGGAGATTTCAGAAGCTGGAAAGCTCATGAACCTGAATGTCTAAGCTCACCGCACCAGAAAAGACTCCATCGAAAGTCCCGCGTGGATCGGGGAGGCCTTCCAGAATAGTGCGAGACCGTCGCATCTACAGGATGCACTTCCATTTGCCAGCGCCCCACCTCTAAGCGGGACTCGAACGCCTCCCACCAAACCATAGCAAATTGCAACAAAACAATATGTTCTCACATTCGGGCCTCGTTGGTGAAATAGTCAATGAACTGATACCTTTCGCTCCCATCTTGCGTGCAGCCGTTGCAGTCTGTGAACACGCACCCGCTGAATGCATGGTGCGGTTGCTAACTCAGGCAGCTGCAATATGGTGCCCAGCACGACACCTCAACAGTTTCGGGATGACGGATGAACAGACCCCCCTTCATCCATCTTCTCCCTTCACAGAGAACGGAGTTCAACCTGCCTATCATCACGCCAACGGAGCTGATTGAAACGAAAAAGGCGTAGTAGTTGTCTCCACCAATCTCAGCTGAATGTCATGACGACTATGACTATGTGTATGCCACCGAGAGTTCCTCACAGGCTCATGCACGTCAGAGGCCCAGACACAGTTGTTAAGCCACATGCAGTGGTGGTCGAAAGATGCCACACACTTGTTGCAGGCCCGACCTCGTGCAGCAGAGTGTCTGTTCTTTGTGATCGCCGGGAACAGACACAGTTTCCTGCGATCTTCACACAGGCCCCAACAATGTTTGCTCCGTGCCTGCACTGTTGTAGCACACCTCGGCGCTGCCAGTACTGTATCAGAGCGGAGCGCATGTCGCAGCACTGGGGCCAAGGCAGACCACAAAAAGGTAGCTCTTCAAGCTCCTGGAGGAAGGAAGTTTGTGCCAAGTGCAAGACACTGCTTATCACTGATTGCAAGTCCTCGTCTTTGAACTCGGATTCCTGAACGAAGAAAGCTCAAGCAATGGAGCGTCTTAAACAACACAGCTTCATGGCTCCAAGACCGTGCACTCGGAGCATGATCCTAGCCTTTGCCATGCTTATCGCAAACGTGCAGTGCTAGAAAGGGTCCCGCATGGTTGCCAGACTACACCCGTCAGTAACGTTATAAAGATGATTCTTGGTAGAAACCACTGCCGCTGTGTTCATCACAGGACAAGTTGTGTTTAAGTTTACGGTAAGTACACTAGACATCGACATCTGGGGGCGTCGCATCCCGAAGCACGAACGGGTCGATGGGGTTGCACTTGGTTGCACGGAAGGTGGAAACGACCAGGAATCCCACGCTGACAAGGAAGAAGCAAGTCACGAGGACCTGAGGAACTCATGAGAGCCGCTTGATGTTGCAGCCAGTCGCAACAGGCTACGGAAGTCAGCCTGCGCAAGCACCGTCTCAATCATGGGA